AACCCTCCTTACACGAAACTCTGCTTAACTCAAATTTTGCACCAAGATTTTGCATTAAAACCCTTACACAATCTTCATGTAAATTACAGCTATAACAGGGGAAAAGGCTTGCAAAAGGGGACAAAATTATGGGCCTCTGTAAGTTTCCAAATTAACACACCCCTTCCACTTTTCCTGACGACTATCTGCCTTCTGATGCATGGACTGCTCAGGCATCTGCCTTTGCTTGCGAATCATCAGGCAAAGTAATGACAAAGTGTGCCAGGATGGATTGGGTTGGGCTTGGATTACAAATGCCACAACCCACGGAAGGCAATCGCTGGAGTTTCCACCAGCTAATCACGGCAAGATGTGTCCGCCCGACAGGCAAGTCGCTCCCACATCTCAAGACAAGACAGAGTGCATGGCCTCCCAAGGCACACAAAGCGCCACCCAAGACTTCGCAAATCTTTCAACCCAGTGATGCATGTGCATAGTACATGTACAGTAGATGGTTAATGTCATTTTGGACGGAATGTCAACCTCATTTGTTATTCTGCAAGTGTAAATGAATACTCTGGACACATATTGCTGACGTGTGTGACCCACACCTGTATTTGAGCACATTTTGTAACATGAGATACTAATTTCTTTGAACACATCCGCCACGCTATGCTTACATGCATGCAAATTTCGACAATCTGGAACAGAGACACGTCAATCTAAATGTAATCAATCCAACAGCAATTGCTGCGCTTCTGGGAAAAAAAAAAGCACACACACTTATACTGCAACTTCCTCATTACTACAATAGCTTTGTAACATTACCTGCAGGCATGTAATGTACATGTACAATGCACATAATATGACCACTGATAATAAAAGTGTACATGTACATGCCAGTAATGTACCAGGTACACTGTGGATGGCTCAATGACAATCTATGCATCTTTTAATAGTTTTAAGTTTCTTTTTCCCCAAATAAATCTGATTTACCAAAATTACAAGTACATGTACGTGTACATATGTACACAAAGTTGATGTGCAGATATGTACAATGTACATGTATTATACATGTACCGTACAGTATGCGCCTTAATTGTAGAAACTTAGGTCAATCACCATGTATGTGCAACTCAAATCTACAAGTGATGATACCGGTATGTTCATACATGTACATATACAACGTACAGAGTATGTGCTACTTCATAAAAACACTGTACCGGTACATGTACATGACTGAAAATTGTTTCATCAATTGTACCTGAGCACTGTACATTTCAACAAAATGCACTTACAAGTTCATGTATAATACATGTGCATTTTTATTCAATACAGAGTTACTGTGTGTATGATGTACATGCATGTACATTGTATGTGTATCAAATTGCGTGATTAGCTAGCCAGATGCTGTTTTTATCAGACAGGCGGAGCGCTCAGAAATAACTCAGATCAAATGCTTAACATTTCAACTTATCACACCCGTGTACATTGTGCTGTTTCTCTCAGCCCTATATAAATTTAATCCCTGGTCTTGAAGTGGATAAAGATAAGAAACACAGAGCCAAGATACCTGAACATACATGTACAAACATGTACACCTACAATGAGCAGAATGCAATACACATGTACATATTGCGGAAATTAAGTTATGTACATGGTACATGTACATGTGCAGACAAGTACATGTATTGGTGAGAATGTTACAATAACATGCACAGTGACATGTTTACGACAGACCAACTAATAATGTACTGTACGTGTATTTTTCCAACTGGTTAAAACATTAAGGACATGGGTAACGGCGGTATATAAAGGAAACGACTTAATACTAGCCTGTGAAACCTGGTGAGCTACTTTTTTTCAGTAGCTGGGGTGACCAATGATTCATGAAGACGGGACAATGCAATATACCATTTAAGACATGTCAAAAACGGGAATCCATTACG